ATGACCTGATAATGAATAAAAGTTTCAACAGTCCTCCAATTACTTTCTGTTTACTTCAATGCAGAATATGACAATTGAAAATATAACAAGAGAAAGTGTGAGTTAAAATATTTATTCTGTGCAGGTAATGGCAGCTCTCTGTTACACCTGTCTCTCATAGTGTGCACGCACACACTGACAATGCGGTGCACTATGAGACACTGTGTCTGGTAGTTTAGTCAAGAAAAAAAAAAAACCTCACATGAAATACTTTCCTTTCAGTGAAAACATTGGAAGTGTTTTACCTGAGCCATTTCTTCATATGTAATGTACATTATTCTGTCTCCCAGTTCACTGTTTCTCCAGCTCTTCATGTGGTCTGTCCATTTTCCAAACATCACTGCAAATGAAGCAGACATTGGCTGACCAGTTACAGATCCAACCACTATTGTGATAGAACTTGCAAATATTGATTTTCTTGCATGTCTCCTCTTGTGCATATGTGATCTCTGACCTTTGCCCTCAAGAAATTTATCCATGAACTCATCAAAGGTTCCTGGATCCTCAAGGAAGCCAGCCATCTGGTGGAAGTAGTATGAAGACACCATGATGTCCTTTGGGTTCCTCATGACGTAGATCACCTACAGCAGAAAGAGTGCAAAAACATACGTGTGTGTAAAGTCTCTTATATAATCAGGAATGAATTGGGAATATCACACAGAGTCATTACCTTTGCTTTGGAGGTGCAGAAGGAAGGGGGCATGAGGTTGTAGGGAAAATGTGAGACCAGTGCCCGTGGAGATGCCAGCTTATCCACCACCCGTGCCAGTTGTTTCTCTTCCAGCCATGGGACTCTCTCCCAGTTAGGAATGGTATGGATGGGTGTCAGATCCCCCCCATTCAGCACCAGTGGGAGGATCTCCTGCATCCAGATTGTACCTGAAGAAATAGCAATAAAAAAAAAAAATGAGTATGAGCTACAGGGCCCTATTTCAGGAAGCCGGTTTAGTGCAAACTCTGAGTAAGTATACCCTGAGTTAACGAAAACTCTGGGTTTTCGGTTTCACAAAGCGAGTTTAGATTAATTCTGA